AAAGCAAAGCAAAGCAAAGCAAAGCTCCCTGTGACTAAGTGGTCACAAAACATTGCAGACGTGTGCAGGGACCTCACACAGTTCAGTGCAGATGCATCCCATGTCCTTTGGCTCTTAACCCAAAGAATCCTGTGGCCAGAGAAGCCACATACTCTAGGACTCCCCTGGGATCCATTTGTTAACTGATAGCTTTTGAGTTAAACAGTCTATATATGTGGTTACTTTTAACTGGATGTTGTAACCTGGCAGTTCTTAAATTGAGTCCACGCTGCGGACATAATATGTTAAGTAAACACTTTCAAAATGTTTGAATTAACTGTTTCTAGATGGCCTGAGACAAGGATTCATGTCCAAGTGGATTATTAGTGGTGACTTCAGGTGACACTGGCAGGGGAGTGGATTGTGATCCAAAGAAGGGACTCGAGGTGCTTTACCAAGCCAGGAGCCACTGTGGGCACCTAGAGGTCAGCCCTTCTGGGGAGCTCTGGGAGCCCATGCAGCCATGCCTCAGAGTCACCCCAGAAGAGGAAATAGGTAGCTGGAGTATTTGACCACCAGCTCCCCACAGTCACTGGCTTAGAACTGTCCCCAGGGGGCTTTAGGTCACCAGAACTTCACAAGCCCCTGTGTGGGCAGAATGGGCTGTAGTGGCCAACACAGCTCTGAGGTAAGGTTGGCAGCCGGCAATCAGGCCACCACACATGGATGTGCCAGGGATGCAGGGAGGTGGGAAGGACTGGACAGTGTCTGCTAGAGCTGGCAACCTAACAAAACCAGGACCTTGTGCATAAAATGTAGATGTCCACTTGTCTGGTCACCCTGCGCTATCCTTCCAGCACGGCTGCAGCTGGCTGACTCTGTGCTCTCTGCAGGCAGGACGTAGGCTCTTCCAGCCCACCAGGCCCCGCAGACTTGCCTGTCTCACTCAGATGCCCTGTGTGGGCCAAAGGGACTCTCTGCCTGGGTCTACCCCGTCCCCTCCCCTGACAGGACCAGGCATGGGCAGATGGCCCAGGCTAGTAATGCACTGGCTGTTCTCAGATGAAACAGAATCTTCTGCTCAGTAACTTAAGTTGAGAGTCACAGAAGAGCTGCTTGTGTTGAAAGCAGGATTTGGATCCCTGTGCAGCTCAGTTGATGGGGAGGAGCCATTCTGGGTGAAGAGAGTGGACCTCGCTGGACCACGCTGGTGGGTGTGGAGGGGACAGTGCGCAAAGGACTGAGAGTCTTGGGAAGTTTGGCGGATTTCTGTTCAGTCCCATCAAATATGCGTTGACCAGAATCACTTCAGAAGTGTGAAGGACACTGGGAGTTCTGAGGCAGGCAGGATGTGAGGACACTTGTCATTATCGTATGACAAGACCTGCAGCACACACGGTCGGAGGGAAGGCCCGCAGCACACGCGGACTGCGGGGGAAGGCCTGCAGCGCACGCGGAGGACGGAGGGAGGGAAGGCCCGCAGCGCACGCGGACGACGGAGGGAGGGAAGGCCCACAGCGCACGCGGAGGACGGAGGGAGGGAGGGCCC